AGATCGAAGCATACTATTTGCTATTTTTTTTCTTCTGTTGAGTTTTGCTTTCTCTTTCTGGTGGTTCCTCCTATTGGTTCTAATTCTTACTTACAATATCACTGATGTGAAAATATGTGTAATAGGAATGTATATGTCCAGCCTATATCAGATTGTGCGCCATCTTGGGGAGGGTGGTGGGGAGAAAGGGGGAAAAAATTTTAAACTCAAAAGCATATAGAAGTGATTGTTGATAAATCAAAATAAATTAATTAAAAATATAGCTTTAGGAATCATTTGCATAGAAAGATGGACAAAGACATGGGAGAGCTGAACAAAGTGTCAAGAGAACTGAGGGCTGATGAAGTGCCCATATTGGGAGATGGGAGTGATGGAAGCAGCAGGAAGAGAGAAAGGGAGGCCCAAAAGGAAGGAGATCCAGGACAGTGCCATGACTTGGAAGCCAAGGGAAGAAGCAGAGATAGTGAGTATGGGGATGGACAGAGGTAGTTCATAGGCTGATAGAATGTCAGACCTGAAAGTGTCCTTAAGAATTACACCATGCTTCTCCTACATTTGACAAATGGGAAAACTGAGGTCAAAGAGCTAGTGAAATGACTTGCTCAGAGTCAATAACAGAGCCAAGACCAGAACTCAGGTCTCCAGACTTACTTTAGATCCTATTCCACTGTCCCATGATTCCTTTTTCATCCTTGAGCCCCTCTTTTAAGATGGAGTTTGTTAGGTCTCATAAGCTTCTCGGAGACCAGTTCTATAAAGACATAAAAGGGTTGCTGTTGTTTGTCCTTCATTTTTGAAAAGGACCAATGACATCATGGGTGATGTATTGACTTGAACATGAATTGTATTAAAGTGGGGCAGAGTTGTCTCTGACTCTAGAGAAGTTAGTCTCATTCTTCCAGAGTTATTGAAGTCTGGTGGCAAGACAAAAGCCAAGATGACCAGCAGTAGCCAGGATGTAGTAGATGACCTTGGCATCTTCGATGTCTGACCAAACTCTAAGCACTCCACAGTACCTGCTTTAGCCACCTTCATGGCCCTTGGAACAAACTGTTCTTAGCTGCCCATTCTGCACGGGAAGTCTTCATAGGCTTGGGGTAGACCCCTCTAACTCACCAATGGGTTTGAGGCAGACTACCATCTCTGACGCGAGGGCTTGCCGAGCCCTTTTCGGGGCTACTTTTCCACCTTTGGTGTCCACTGGTCACCCAGCTCTGGCCTGCGGCTTTAAGAAGCTGAAGGAGGCACAGCTGTTGTGCGAATCATCCTGGTAGACAAGCTAAGCCTGGTTGAGGGTAACCAGTGGCAAAGAGATAAAAATAATGAAAACAAGAGCACTGTGAATTTGGGTGGCTCCCCACTGCTTATAAGATGAAGCCCAGTCTCCGTAGTGGGACATTCAAGGTCCTTCACACTCTGGCTTAGTGTTTTAAAATTTTCCTTAAACACACTTCAACAAGGCCCTATGCTCCAAACTGAATGGACGATTAATTGCTCCCTAACTATGTACGAGCGTTCCGCCTTTGTCCTTTGCTCGTGCTGAGCTGTTCTTCTTCTCTGTCAAATGTCAAATGATTCACCAAATTCTCTTTCCCTTCTCCAGCTAGATCCTGCCCAATCTTCAAGGCTCAGCCCAAGTCTCACCTCTTCCACAAAACCTTTCCTAAAAACCCCAGGCCACATATACCTTGCCCACATTGAAACTTTTGTCTATAAATTTCCTTGTGATATTTTTTCTATTGTTATTTTCATTTTCACGTACGTTGCCTTTCATGTACGTCCTTATTTTAGACTGTAAGCTCTTTGAGGACAGGAGTTTTACTATATGCTTTTAATGTATATGTGTGTATGTGTGTACATATGTATATGTATATTCTCCCCCCCATCCCCTGCACACATACTTCTCTCATCTCCTTCCCCTCCACACCTGGCATAGTGCCTTAAATATATTAGGTAATCAGTATTTCTTAGATGAATTAATAATGTTTGATATTCACTCATGCAGCAAACATTTATTTAATCAATCAACCAATAAGACTTTTAAAAGTATCTGTTACGTGCCAAGAGCTGTGTTCAATGCTGGAGTTATAAAGACAAAAATGAAAGTCCTTACCCTTCAGAAGTTTACATTCTCACAGCAGAGACAACATACACACGCCCACACACATATACATACACATGTGTATGTATATATAAGTATATGTATACAGATGTATGCGTGCATGTATACAGTTATATGTATACATATGCACAGATAATACGTATGTGTGTATATGTGTGTGTATGTCTGTCTATCTATCTATCTATCTATCTATCTATCTATCTATCTATCTATCTATCTATCTACCCCTATCTCTCTCTCTCTCTCTCTCTCTCTCTCTCTCTCTCTCTCTCTCTCTATCTATCTGTCTCACACAAACAAAGCAGATACAAGGTAACCTGGAGGTGGGGGAGGAAGGCACTAGCAACTGGGAAGAATTAGGAAAGGTCTTATGCAAGACTTGAGATGAGTCTTGAAGGAATCCAGCTGTTCTAAGAGGCAGGTGAAGTGAGGGTGCATTCTAGGCATGGGAGAGCACCCCAAAGTCATACAGTGTATGTTGTGTACAGCAGCAAAAAGGTATTTTGGTTGAACCCTAGGGGGCTGGAGAGGAATAAGGTGCAATAAGAACTGGAAAGGTAAGTTAGAGTCAGTTTGTATGAAAACTGGAGGGACTGTAGAAAATAAGTACATTCATTCACTGCTGGTGGAGCTGTGAACGACGGTCCATCCATTCTGGAAAGCAATTTGGAAATATTTCCCCCAAAGTATTAAACTGTGCATCAACTTTCCAGCTCCAAGAGCATAAGCGCTGATTGTTAAATGTTCAGTGTGCACATTTATACCTTAGAAATCATCAAGTGCCACAAATCAAGGCTTCATTTATTGTGGGTTTTTTTAAAAATTTTCTTAACTTAAGAAAGGATGGAAAAAATATTAATAATTCAAGTTAAACTTAAAAGTATGCTGTTCATATATCCCCCCACCTTAAAAGCTGGTTGTTAAACATTTACTAACACACCATTGCCTTTGACCCAGTGATGCCGCTACGAGGTCTATACCCCCAAAGAGAACAGAAAAGGGGGGGGGAAAGGATCTATACGTACAAAAATATTTATAGCAGCTCTGTTTGCAGTGACAAAGAACCGGAAACTGAAGGGCTGCTCGTATGACTGGATAGGCCCTGACTGATTGGCTGCCTTAAAAATCCCCTGCCTTCATGAAGCCTACATTCAAGAAGAGTAGATTTGTCATATACCTAAATAACTATGTAAGTAAATAAATAACTATAATGTTATAAATATAATGTATAATGAAAGCTGATAAATATATGAGAAGCAATAATAATAATAATAGAAATATAGTGCTTTCAAGTTTGCAAAGTGCTTTCATTACTTGATCTTTTTTTTTTTTTTTTTTTTTTTGGAGAGGCAATGGGGTTAAATGACTTGCCTAGGGTCACACAGGTAATAAGTGTCAAGTGTCCGAGGCTAGATTTGAACTCAGGTCCTCTTGACTCCAGGGTTGGTGCTTTATCCACTGTGCCACATAGCTTGCCCTATTTGATCTTTTTTAAATGTCACAAAAGCCCTGTTTGGTAGTTACTATACTATAGGTATTATTGTATCTGTTTTATAGGTGAAGAAACCGAGGCTAGAGGGAGTCAACATCAGAGGTGGGATTTGAACCTCCATCTTCCTGAGTAAAAGTACAGCATTCAAGCCAGTGTACTATTCTGGCTCTTGTATCATGCCTTTAATGGTAGAGTAAACATGGCTGAATTTATTTGCTCAGGAAAAAAGACCTCTTCTCTTTGGAGGAGCAGGCAGCATGGTGGAAGAGATTGAAAACTGACATTGGAAGAAGGAAGATCTGAGTTCAAGTAGGGTCTCTGGGCCATTTGATGGGTAAGTCTCTTAGCTTCTCTAACACTGTAGTTAGACAAGTAGGGGATTTCCAAGCAGATCCAGACCCAAAAGAACTTTCTCCAAGTTAGCCGTTGTTTGTACTTTTTGAAGCATTTCCACACATGAAGTACATCCACAAACCTGAGATTATCTCCACTTCACAGATAAGGACACTGAGGCCCAGATAGGCTGGGTGACTGGTAAGTTCAGAGTGTTGTCTTAGAGCCAGGCCCTGGGACCTTCTCTAATCCAGGGCTCTTTCCCCTCTATGGCAACAATTGAGGTCGTTCCTCCCAAACAGTCCTTGAAGAGGTTGACAAAATTTCCTACTTCTCCTTTTGAAAAATGGGGATGGGCCTCATGTCCACCCAGGCCTCACCTCATGTTCCTTTCTGTCCAATTAAAGAGGCTACTTTCATTCAGCAAAAAGTTGAACAAATTAACACGGTATTTTGAGACCCATGAATGGTCATTCCAACCTAGCCCAGGGAAATAAATAGAGGAGTAAGAGTCAGCCATAATGCCAGGGTGTGGTGTGGGGAGGGGTATATTTTTTTTACTTTCTTTTAGGTAAGTCTGATTTCTTTTAGGCATCACACGACTGCTCCCTGGCCAAGGGACTACATAATCTTAGTTCTCTTTTCTTTCTGCATGGGACATCCTTGGCCCAGAGCTTCTTGTTAATGAGACTCACTTAACTCTTCAGGACCCCTTCCCTGTGGGGTCTCGGGCCTAAACTTCCCCATTCCAACAGGGCCCATCTCCCTAGTTGACAAGAGTCACCTTGGTGCCTTCCAGGGAAGCCAATTAGCGCTTGCCAACCTAGCTGGATTATTATGATTAATCATGCCCTGAATCTTCTGGGTGCTGACACCAGGGAAGGAGGGCTTACCCAGAGGCGGTCACTTTATAAGCACCTCAAGCCACAGCTCCCAGCTCCTTCTAATGTGGCTGGCCTAGCGTCTTGTCCCAGTCTGGGAAGGAGAGGAGGAAGGTCCTTATCAGTGACCAATCCCCTTTAGGCCCAGGGCAGAGAGAGCAGCGCCGCAACCATGAACGGCACAGAGGGACCCAACTTTTACGTCCCTTTTTCCAATAAGACTGGTGTGGTGCGGAGCCCCTTTGAGGAACCTCAGTATTATTTGGCTGATCCATGGCAGTTCTCCTGCCTGGCGGCTTATATGTTCATGCTGATTATCCTGGGCTTCCCCATCAACTTCCTCACCCTCTATGTAACCATTCAGCACAAGAAACTGAGAACGCCCTTGAACTACATACTGCTGAACTTGGCAGTTGCTGACCTTTTCATGGTATTTGGTGGTTTCACCACCACCCTTTATACCTCCCTGCATGGCTACTTTGTCTTTGGACCCACTGGCTGCAACCTGGAAGGCTTCTTTGCTACCACAGGAGGTGAGTGGCTCCCTGCGGAAAGGAGGAAGAGACTGTTTCAGCCAATCCATCATTGGAGAGGGAGGAGATGTCCAGGGCTAGGGCTGGGTGGGTGCGGTTGGTCAAATGGGGGATACTGGTAGAATTCAGGATTCTAGACTTAGAGGTGGGCCTCTTTCTCTCAAATGCAGAGGTGGGGAGCTATGGATGCAGAATAATGCATAAACTTGTTGAATATGGTCTTGGTGTTGGTTAGTGTTTCCAAAATGCTTTTTTCCCCTCTTTTTTTTTTTCAAACATTTGTTGTTACAAGAGACAGTTCAGTAGGTAGAAGAATGAGGAGGGATATGTTGGAAACAAATGTTCTTTAGAAAAAAGATCAATAAAATGAAGAAATATTGAAAGAAAGATTTACAGTTGGGCAGGCCATTTAGACCAACCCTGTCATATTACAGGTGAGGCAGCTGTGAATAGGGGAGATGAAGAAATTTGTCTGAGGTTATACAGGTAGCAAGAGGCAGAGTCAGCATTTGAACTCAGGTCCTTTGACTTTAAATCCAGTTTTCTTTTTAGTTATGACCACCCTTTCCCCCAACAGATTTCAGTTCCAGGATGAGACCAGGAGCTGGGAATATTTGAGAGCCCTTTCAGAGGAATGAAATACTTTAGGGGAATGATTTGGAGGCAAGAAAGAGCAGTAATGGCATCTGCCAAAGGCATAGCTCCAACCAGTGCTAGTGTTTCCCCCTTCCACTCACAACATCTTGCCAGGAAAGCTTGAAGCATAAGTTATTTCACAGTTTCAAAGATTTAATGCTGGAAGGGACCTTAAGGAATTCCAGCTTAGGGCTGGAAAGGAACTTTGGGAACATCTATTCCAACCCATTCTATTTACAGGTGAGAGAAACTAAGGTCTTGGGACAAGAGTGACTTAACAACCAGTTTTCTGCATTGTTAACATTTTCCTGCATCATTTTCTTAAGCTTAGACATGCAAAAAACAATAAATCAAGCCCTGACGAATAGATTTTTGAGATGTAAATTATCACACTGAAAATTTAACCACTGGCTCCAGCTAGCTGTTTGGAGCTGGCTCCAGGATATCTGTCCCTGTCCAGAGACTTGCCCAAGAATGCCCAGTGACAGAATTAGATCCCAGGTTGGTGGGATTTGGGTCCAGTGCCCTTTTAGGTACACACAGGAGCTATTGCTCAGTAAGTGCGGGCTTCAGGTGTTTCCCATAGATTATGGGATTATAGGATTTACATGTGGATGATTATCTAGTCTAACCTTCTCCCTTTACTGAGGAAGCAACTGAAGGTCAGATAGAGTGACTTGTCCAAGGCACTCACTTAGTGACTAGTAGAGCTAGAATTGAAGTCCAGGTCCTCTGGGTACAAATCCAGCTGTCTACACCCTGCTGCTTGGTCTGTCTGTGTTGTCTTACATCCCCCCCAATGGGTTGTTAGCTCTCTGATATCAGGGATGCGGTTGTTTCTCATCTGTGTGTGTTGCCTACTCTAGAGTTTTGCATTCACAAAGTACTTTGTGATTATGCCTGTTAGACAAAGAGAGAATCACAGAATCAAAGAATTTGAGGGCTGAAAGGGATTTCATTTAACCTCTCATCTAACCATAGCCCAAAAGATTCCCTTCTATAAATATTTCTGACAAGTGGTCTTCGAGCTTCTCCTTGAAGACTTTCAAAGTTGGGAAACTCATCAGCCCTGGAGGTAGCTCATTTCATTTTGGGACAGTTCTAATGGGTAGGAATCTGCTCTGCTCCCCTGAGCTCTAGACCTGGGTTACTTCTGGGCTGAAGATGGATAGAGGAATATGGGTGTGGGTGGATGAGTGCCACAGAAGGGTACAACTGAGAGGCCTGGGGAAGTTCCCCTGAAGGGCCGGTCTCAGTTTCTTCCAGCTTGCTTTCTCTATATAGAACAACTGACCACCTCTCTCTCTTCACTAGTGATAGAACATCCAGAAGGTAGAAGAGATACAAGAGGATGTCTGAATGGTTAGATCTCACATGCTGCCTGAGGTGTGATCAGAAAAGGTCCCTGGCCCCCCAAATAGCTCCTCCAAGGATGCTTGAAATTCCACCATTCCCTTGGGTTAAGCATTACTCTTTCTTTCCCAGGGTCTTCTTTAAAGATGCAAATATCCTTGAGCAAGGATCTAATTAAGTCCCTAATACCTCCAGGAGAGTGACCTTATCAGATGTCTTTCTAGCTAAGGGGTCAGAGCAAAGGCAGCAGGAGAGTTCTTATACTTGGGATGTAAATGGCGCTGAATGGGGCGGGGGAGAAGAGAGGCAGAAAAAACAAATTTTTCCTCTTGCACAATTTTGTACCAAGCTGACCATAATAATGAGGGAACTGAAGAGAATGTCTGGATTTATTTGGGCCTTGGACTCCAACCTTCCTTCCTCTCCCTCTCTTTGTCCCTCATTTCATCCCCCTTTCCTACTAGGTCTTCTAAAGCTGGAAAATCCCCATTGTGTCTTTCAGGTGAAATAGCTCTGTGGTCCCTGGTGGTTTTGGCCATTGAGAGATATGTTGTGGTCTGCAAGCCAATGAGCAACTTCAGGTTTGGGGAGAACCATGCCATCATGGGGGTCGCCTTCACTTGGGTCATGGCTCTGGCTTGTTCTGCTCCACCCCTCCTCGGCTGGTCCAGGTTAGTAGAATGTAGAGGTTAGTGGAATGTAGAGAGGGAGGCAAAAAGGTGGGGGTGAGCAAAATAGTCCCCCTAGAAACCTAGGGACGCTTTCTTGGCTGAGTGGAGAGAGGGGCTTTCCCCCCGAACAGTCCCTGCTCCTTCCCTGCTGTTCCTTGGGAACAGTACCAACTGACAACTCATCGAAGAGCGTAGGACCAAGATTGGAAGATTTCCTTCATCTAGTCCGTTTCCCTCATTTTACAGATGAGAAAGCTGATGTCTAGAGAGGTTAAATGATTTGCCCATAGTTGCATTGCTTGTAAAGAGCAAAAGTGGGATTTGAACCCAGATCCTTTGATTCTGAATGCAGTGTTCTTTCTACTGCACCACACTGACTCCTTGGGGGGTGGGAATATAGGGGGTAAGGTGTAAGGTGTCTCATTTGACTCACATGAACACCAAGGTTGGGGCAGCTATCCATGAGATATACGGATAATGAGGAGGCCCGGTAGAGTATGGAAAAATTCTAAGATGCCTCCTTTCACCTTGGCTATACTCTAATCCTTATTTAAGCTGGGGCCAAAGTCCAATCCTCTTTAGCTCAGATCCTATAGTACTCTCTCTGACCTTCAGGGCCTATCTGCATGGTAAAACTGTTCATCAATGGGGATGCCCCGGTGGCAATGGCGATCTGCCTGCCACCTTCACCTAGTCTTAGGCTTCGAAGAAGATAGAGAAGAAGCTGGATAGGAAGTTTGTATTGCCTCCAGAATAAAGCACATGACAAAACTACACCAGAGACATTCCCTGACCAATCTAATTCTTAAAGCTCTTTGCTGAAGGAAATAGCAAATCTCCCCCATCCTTACCAGGCATACATCTCACAATGTTTCCTGCCGATAATTTTCCATCTTCTGTTTTAATGTGGCCTTTTCTCTACTCTGATGAGTTGTACTCTTTTATTTTAATAATAACTTTTTGGCAATGAAGACACCTTTCTCTGTCTTTTCTTCTCCAAGGTTAATTAATTCCTTCCACCTCAAAGATCCCTTATAGGCAGACAGATCCTATTTTTGCCTCAATGTGTTCCTGGGGATCTCCTTAGAAATCAGAACCTAGAAAGAAGCATTTCCCCCTGCTATTACATCTCTCTTCCTCTTTAGCTAGCAGCTAGTCTTTTTCACCCTATGGCTGAATGTACCCAGGGGCAGTGGGTGACCGAGGACTCAGTGACTGAAACTGACGATGGCCATGGTAAAATATGAAATGCTGGTGATGAGGGAAATGCCACATGGCCAAAAGTGGAGGCAACCACTTATTCCTTTTCTCTCCCAGACTCAGAAATAGCAGGCTAATCTTGTCAATGCAATCTTGCCATTGAGTGGGGCTTTTCTGCAGGTACATTCCAGAGGGAATGCAATGCTCATGTGGAATTGACTACTACACCCTCAAGCCTGAAGTCAACAATGAATCCTTTGTCATCTATATGTTCGTGGTTCACTTCAGTATTCCCCTGACCATCATTTTCTTCTGCTATGGACAACTGGTCTTCACAGTCAAAGAGGTCTGGATAGCCTTTTCCCCTGCTAAGGGTCTCATTCTTAGTATACCTCAATAACTCAGTTCCTCACCCTTCTTCTACCTTACCTACCTGGACATTTGTTTTTTCTTCTCATTCTATCCTTTCCTTTCCACCCTTTTCTTTTCCTTGATTTGTCATTCATTCATTCAACCAATCAATCAGCCAAACAACTGATCTATCATTATTGAATATCTATTATACGTAACACCCTTTAGGGGAAATGGACATAAAATGTGTTTGGGGGAACGTGAGTGGGCCAATTTGACATAGAGTGGTGGGAGAAAGGACTTTCCAGGAAAGGTAGATTGCTACTCAATGGCAGATAGCCTCAAAAGACAATCCAATGTTTTCTCCAGGCTGCAGCCCAGCAGCAAGAATCTGCTACTACCCAGAAGGCTGAGAAGGAAGTCACCCGGATGGTCATCATCATGGTCATCGCCTTCTTGATTTGTTGGTTGCCCTATGCTGGTGTGGCTTTTTACATTTTCACTCATCAAGGCTCCAACTTTGGCCCAATCCTCATGACCCTCCCGGCTTTCTTTGCCAAGTCGTCATCCGTTTACAACCCTGTCATCTACATCATGATGAATAAGCAGGTACCTGGGTTGGGGAAGAGGAAGGAAATGCTGCGCTAGAGCCTTAAAGGGGAGGATAGAGTCAGAGTCAGGTCTGACTGCCGTCAGAGTCAACCAATAGAGATAACCAGAAGTAGTAGAAAGGACTGGAAGAGAACCGCCCTGGGAGTGAAGACGCCCAATCTTTAAGACTAATCAATTATGTGATTTTGAACAAGTCACTCCACTGGGCTACTCCACACTTTCCTCATCTCTAGAATACCGTGGTTGAACAGAGGTTTCCATCTCTAGAGACGATTTCAAAGGCCTTGGTTCAAGTCCTCACTTGGGTCCTCATTTTGTTCTGAAGTTGATCCATCCTCTTTATGGAGGCACACAGTGCGACCAGAAATTTTACTATAATGCTGGAGTCATGCCATGGAACCATTTTAATGGCAAAGCTCTTTCATGCAGGGGCCATCTTGTCCAACCAACTCCCCTCATTTTGCAGATGAGGAAACTGAAGCCCAGGGAGCTTAAGTGACTTACCCAACATTTCACATTTAGTAAGCATCAGAAGTGAGATATGAGTCCAGGTCTTCTGACTCCAGAGACCCTGCTCTTTCTACTGCCTCAGTCTAGTAACAGAGGGTTTATTGCAACTAACCAAATGTGTATACAGGTAGTTTCATCCTAAACTCTTCTATGTGGGGAGGTTAAACTTGGCATGATGTGTTAGAGAACCTTTTTTGATGAGAACCATCTGAGGGGAAGGGAGACTGAGAGAACACAAAGGTTCCTGGAGGGAATGGATGTGATGAAGGTGGAGAGTGGAGGCTGGGAGACACCAAAGACAAATGTTACCTGCTACCCTCTCAAGCTGAAGGTCAGTCCCTGGGATGATCATTCTCTGAATAGAGAATTCTCTTCTCACTTTCGTTCTTTGCTTTCTAGTTCCGAAACTGCATGCTCACCACCCTCTGCTGTGGCAAGAACCCATTGGGTGATGATGAGGCCTCTGCTACAGCCTCCAAGACGGAGACCAGCCAGGTTGCTCCTGCATAAGCTCTGAGAAGAGCTCCATCCACGCTTGGCACACCAGGCTCCCAAAGGCTGCCAACAGCCCACCTATAAGAATTCATCCCCTGCCCCCTAACTCCCACTGAGAATGACTGGACAGCATTAGGAGCGCTATCGGTCCATCAGAAGGAGGTTATATCTAGTACCCAAATTTTGAAACAGAAGTGAAAAAATAAATCAAATAGCCTCCAATCATCCCCCAATTTTCAAAGCCAGCCAGATACTTTCTGTATGCTCTGAATGCTGCAGACACCAGGATTGCTTTTTGAGAACTGATCCCAGAGTTCTTGGTTCTGAGAGGTTGATATGATCTGGAACCCTTTGGGGGTCCTGAGCCCATTCACCCCACAGCAACATATGAACTCTTGCTCTCGGGAAAAATGACCAGCTTAAAGATAAGCACCTAGCACAAGGCTGGGCAATCAGGAGGTGCTAATTAATGCTTGTTGAATGAATGAATGGATGAGTGAATGAATGTTAATGAATGAACAAGTGAGCAAGCTAAGGGCTTGAGAAGTCTAACTGTTCTCACCAAATGACACGTAGACAATTTTGGATATTATGGCATTCATAAATCAGAAATCTTCCCTCTTCATCTTTCTGAGATTTTTGAGACATTTTGAGACACGGGGAGGACCAAGGGAGCTGAGATGACCAGCCATCACTCACCCTTGACACATTTCTAAAATGAGCTTGGGCAGATAATAGGGCAAACTAAAACGGGCCTTCACTGACTTCCCTTTCTCTAGCTACTATGGTCCCTGGTCACCAGGGCCAGACAGCTCTTCAATGAGAGTCTGAAACAGGTAGGTCTCTGGGCCAGGTTACTGGGCAAAGCAATGATTTTCACAGGCATTCTCCCTGAACCTTAAAAAATTAGGCGCTGCTTTCTGGGTTTACAGAAAAAAGAAAACAAGAGAACCAATGGATAGGTCAAGGGACGTGGGGGAGAAAAGAAGTCATTGGGGGTTGGAGTATGTGGTTAGACTGAGGCTATTTCTCCTGATTTTTCTGACCCCTCCTCCCTACTCTCAGTTTTCAGAAACCCAGAGTCCTTCCTTTTTCCCCCATGGCCACAGCCCAAGTGAGAAAACATTTTCTGTTTGTTTTTGTTTTTGTAAAATACTTTATCTCTTATTCCCAATCGCCTACAGCTTCTCAAAGACTGATAGGGAATGTTAGAAGTCATATAAGTTCAGTATTTAGTAAAGAGTAATACTGCAAATAAAATTCTTTTCGCAAGTTAACTAAATACATGGATTAAAGGGATTGAAATAGCTTTGAAACTCAGGGTCAGATGATTCGGTCAGTAGTTAGGCTAATGTCTGATTCATCTGCTTGAGATTTTCAGAGTCTCCATTTTTTTTTAGTGGGGTGGGGGGGGGGAGACAGGCTTCAATTAGATCATATTTTTCTCTGCAGACTTGGTTCCATCCTTGAAGGGTCACAAACATGGGGAGTTCCAAAGTGTCCCTGTGCAGACACAGGAGGGAATTCTGGGAATGTAGATCATTGGGCAAGTTGTGGCAGTCCTTGGAGGGTGGCCCTAGTGGGCTCCCACCTATCCACCCTCCATGGCTGCCTTTGGGATGCCACTGAGGTTTCATTTGGTGAATGTTCATGGCCAACTTGGCTTTTGTTGGGTGGCTATTATTCCCAGAGAAAAACAAAAAGACATGTATGTAAGCATTAAAAAGGACTCTTCCATGTTTCCAAAATGTCTGGTGGTGTTTTCTCCCCTCCCCATCCCTAAACTATTTATCCACAGGGAAAGTCTGAAACCAGCAGTTACTTGGCTAACCATGGATGCTGACCTCAAGCCTTCCTCCAAGATCTCCTGGGGCTGGACCATTGCCTATGGACTGTCATGCTGGCCTCAAATGGAGTGGTCCAGTGGGTAGCAGACCAGTAACCCCAGAATGGACCACTCCGACTGCTGGGCTGGGACAGAGAAAGCCTGGGGGATCCCCTAGCTTCCCAGGGAGACTCTGGGAGGGAGGCACATGCTGGTTGTCTTCAGATATCCGAAAGGCTTTGTGGAAAAGAGATTCATCTTGGTCTGTGCTGTTCCAGAAAAGAGAATACAGACCATTGGGTGGGAGTTAGAGGAAGGCAGGTTTTAGTTCAATACAAGGAAGAACTTTCTAACACCAAGGCCTGGATGACAATGGAAAGGACTCTCCCTGTCACTGGAAGACAGATCTCTACGTTCATAGGGACCTTAGGGATCACTTAGTACAGCTCTTTCACTTGACACACGAAGAAAACTGAGGCCCAGAGAAGTTAAGTGATGATCCAAGGTCACACAGCTAGTAAGGAACTAGCCCCTATAGATCCTGTTCATTCATTCAGCAAGTATGCATTGAATTCCCTCCATTGGCCTTGGTATCCAAGTCTCCTTTCCTCCCCCACATAAACCCATTGATTTCTAGACAATTTCTCAGAAGACCTCTGGGAAGGGGCAAAGGGGTGAGACTGGTACAATCAATCAATTGATCAGCAACATTTATTAAACAGCTGCTGGATGCCAGGCAGGTATGGGATAAGATAATATACTCTAGTGGAGTCACTTTCCCTTAAGCCAGGGCCAATGTCAGGGTACAACTGAGCTGGGATGTGGGGAGGTATCTGGGCCCCTTCGGATATTACATTCCAGGAGAGAACTCGGAGCTGCCTCGGGAGGCAGGAGGATGCTAGCAGGATCTTCCCTCCCGCCATCTCTTACTGCAGTGGCCTTGGGAAGGATGGAGTGGGGGGGAGGGCAATGCAGGGAGCACGTGCCAATAAGTCTTGCCCACAGCTGTCAATCCTTCAGGAGCTGAAAGTATCAGCATTTAGCAGAAAGTGGTGTGCTCTGCTTTCTGCAGCCCACAGACCTTTGGTCAAAGCCTCATGCCATGGCTCTCATTCACATTTTCCTGTGACCAAGTCCTCTTAAACCTCTTCCCAATTCCATTTTTCTCTCTATGAAACCAAGTGAGGATGTTTGCCATAACCTGCCTCACTGTAGCGCACAGGCTATGAGCCACCCGGGTTTAAAAACTAGGGAGAAAGGATATGACTGCCTTGGACATCAGGATCAACATTATTAAATTAGACTGCCTTTCTGGGTTAGCTCCTATGTGTGTCTCTGCAGGGCATTCTTGCTTTGGTGGGACTTCCCTACATCTGTTAGTATCCTCTCCCTCCCCAGCTGCCTTCCTAGATGTATTAATGAGGCCTCACATCTCCCATAGGGTCATAGATTTAGAGCTGGCAGAGACCTTGGATTTTAATTTTACAGATGAGGAAACTGAGGCAAATCAAGGTTGTGTGACCCTGGACAAGTCAGTTAACCTCTGTTTGCCTTAGTTTCCTTGTCTATAAAATGGGAATAATACTAGTACCCACATCCCAGGGTTGTTGTGAGGATCAAAGGAGATTATAATTGTGAAGCACTTAGTGCAGTGCCTAGTACATTGTAGGTGTTATATAAGTGTTAGCTTTTATTATTATCATACTTATTATTAAGTAGTAACAATATTAGCATTAATATTGTTAATATTATATTAAGTGACTTGCCCAGAGTCACACAAGCAGTAAGTGTCTAAGGCTGGGATTTGAACTCAGGTCTTCCCGATTCCCACACTCTACTATGCCATTGTACTGCATCAAGTAGTTTTGATAATCACTATTTTACATTATAGTTTGAGATCTGGTAATGTCAGAGTCTGATTATAGATTTAGAGGGAGCTGTGTCCTTGCAGGTCAGTTACTCCATCCCTCTCATTTTGTAAATAAGGAAACTGAGGCCTTGAGAAAATACTACCCAGACAGCAAGCAGGCAGGCTGGGCACCGAGCCCAAGTTTCAGCCCATGTTGAGCTCCAGCTGCCTCTCTGAGGTCCATCCCTTTTATTCTTTCTCTCAGCTCTCTTACGTGATACTCATTCAAAATTCAGTTGCCCCTCGGAAGGGGCAACACTCCTCAGGACTTTTCTCTTTAGAGAAGAGGCAAGAGGTCCATTGAGAAGACTCTGGGGAGGTGCGGGGTTTCCAGAGATTGTCTCCCTTTCACTGATGAGGAAGACTAAGTGCAAGGAAGGGCGACTCATCCAAGACCCTACAACCAGCACTAAAACTTGGCCAGGGCTCTCTCTCTCTTGCAATACCTGAACAATCCTTGTACTAAAAGCATTTCTCTCTTGAAGCAGAATCGCAGAACCTCAGAATTACAAGGTTCCTCGGGGACTTTGCCTGAATGCCTCTGATGATGCCTGTCACTTCCCTAGGCATGCATTATGCTTTTGGACAACTCCAATCATTAGAATAATGATTAAATGGGCATCCTAGCGCCTAGTCTAATCCCTCTTCCACAGGGTCATCACTTAAAATATTTCAAAAGAGAGAAAAAAAAAAGGGTTCTGGTCTGACCGTGTCACACCCTACTCCCCAGCTCAATAAATCTCAATGGCTCCCTATTACCTCCTGGTTGCCTTCCAAAGCCCTTCATAGCTCAGCCTCTCCCACCTTTCTGGTCTCCATATACCACTCTCACACACTCATATGCCATCTCCAGACTCCAGGCATTTTCATTGGCTGCATCCTATGCCTGAAGTGCTTTCCCTTCCCATCTCTGTCTCTTGGATTCCCTGGTTTCTTCCAGGTCCCAGCTAAAATTCCACCTCCTACAGGAAGCCTTTCCTAGCCACCCTCAGTGTTAGTGCCTTCCCTCTGTTGGTAATCCCCAATTTATCCCGTCTGTATCTTGTTTGTACATAATTGTTTGTACGTTGTTTCTCCCAATAGACTACGGACTTTTTGACAGTAGGAACTGTTTTTTGATTTTTTGTTTGTTTGTTTTTTACTTTTCTATCCTCAGCACTTAGCACGGTGCCTGTCACCTAGTAATTGCTTAATAAATATTTGTTGACTAATTATTGAAGGCAGTGCTCCTTGTCCTGCTTCTCACACTCTCCCCTTAGTCTCCTCTTCTCCAGGTACCAT